ATGATGAGGTAATATACAACTAGTGCTTATCACCTTAATGTCCATCATTGGAGTTGAGTTGAAAAGCTTAGTGGTTAAGATGCCCACCTTCAGGGCCCTGGGTTCAATTCCTGTGAGAGCACGACCTTTTCTCATGAATAAAAACAACTCCACTCCCTAAGCCTCATAAAGAGGGCCCATGAATATCAGCCAACCTTCAAGGATATGCTGGAAGCGTCACCCTGTATAAATATGGTTAAAAAATATTAGATTACATTTACTGATTGGGTGCTCATGTAAAGTCTGGTTTCCATACAATCGCTACATGTTATTCCCGACTTCTTTGGCGACACTGTTGATTGGTTAAATCAGGGAGAGTCCCTGATTGTGTTAGGGCCAGCTATGCAGTACAATGGTTGCAGTGAAAATGTTGTAACTAATGCGTAGCAATTCTATGGAAACCAAGATTAACGTATGTGTATTTTGATTTCAAGACTGTCCCTCAATAATAATGATTTTGGTTGTGTTTTTCCAAAATGTTTTTAGGTGAAAACAGCACCATGGAACACAACACGTGCATTCATATCTGCCATGAAGGGCAAGTGTCTCCTGCAGGTGACGGGAACAGCTGATCCCACGGGATGCGGAGAAGGATTTTCCTATGTCAAGGTCCCAAATAAACCAACTCAACAGAAGGTATGCTAGGTTATTATTTTTGTGTATTACAACCTGAAGGAATTTATATCGCACTGGTTAGGCCCATTTTGGGGTGGAAAATGTGGGGTTGATCAGAAAGGACACATTGGACCCATTGTACATGTTCACAAGAATATCATGGGTCAGAAGAAGTTAGTGTTTTTCCAGGCAAAATGCGACTTGGGAGGGTTATTCAAGTAGCTGACCAATCATCCTGCCTGGAGTGTCAATCAAATTTACAATCAAATTCTAGCTCAGTCAAATTGTTAGTAGTCATAATGTTTGATTGTGTAGTAAATCTTTTACTTCATAAAGTTCAAATTATGAATGCTTTTGTGTAATTTGCAGGACAACCAGACATCTCCTCAGCCGGAGAAGAAGCTGGTCACGGGAACCGATGCGGATCTTAGGAGACTGAATCTCAAGAGTGCTAAACAATTATTAAGGAAGTTTGGTGTCGCTGAAGAGGAGGTAAGAAAATCCTCAAGGAAGTTGATTGAAACGAAAGGAACAATTTCATATTTTCATATATTTACTGTGGATGAACTTACCTTATGAATATGCAAGAATATTCATGAATATTCAAATTATAGGTTGTTCTTAATTGGTTGTTGGAAGCATTATGTCTTAACTGTAAATCTTTGGCCTTATAACCAAAAGTTAAAGTTCAGATTTTTAACTCTGGTCACATTGAATTAATAACAGAATTCTTTATCCCCTAACTTCTATCAGTAGCCTTTTTATATAAGAATTCAGTGAAAAACACATGAACAAGAGCCCTGGTTACGCTATGTTAGCGAAAAATGTTGTTGCTTTGGTTTTTTTAAATAAAATTCAATATATTCTCTTTGTAGATTAAAAAATTATCTCGTTGGGAGGTAATTGATGTTGTACGTACATTGTCAACCCAGCAAGCAAAAGCTGGTGAAGGGGGCATGAGTAAGTTTGCAAGAGGGAACCGCTTCAGTATTGCTGAACATCAGGAGCGATATAAAGATGATTGTCAAAGAATCTTTGATCTTCAGAACAGGTGAGGTGACCTTCCATTGTTGAGCCCAATTGTAGTCAACCTCAGAATGTCAGTAGATTTTAAGATTAGATTCGTTCGATTAAGTAATTGACACATATATAGGTTGACTAATTGATTCAGGGATTTGATTGTTGGATTTACAGATTAGTTAATAATAATAATAATTCTAAAGGTTTATATAGCTCCAGTTCCAAATCAATACTCAAAGTGCAACCTTCTCTGCTTCTCTGCTCCCTGGGGAGTATCCCTAGACATGCGCAGAATGCTCCGCCCACATTCAATGCCACAACATCCTACCATGTACCCATTTATTCTCCTGGGTAATGAGAGACAAACACAGATAAAATGCCTTGACCAAGGACACAGGCGACTTGTACAGCGAGAGTTTCAAACCCCTGACCTCAAGCTTAAGCTGAGGGAGTCCAGGTCACAACTATGCCAACCGCTTCTAGTTGGCGAACTGATTTAGGACTTGATTTTCAAGGTTTTATATTTTTTCCTCAATCCCAAATACTCATCCCCCAGGAAACCTCCCCCCCCCACCCATTAAAGATGTTCAGTGCAAAAAATTATTTTGCAAGCTAGCATCCACTCACCTAATCATCAAGTTTCCACCCCATTTCAAGATTCTTAGATATGCTACTGGATTTCAAGGATTTGTTTTTTTTTGTCTATCAGAGTGCTAGCATCTAATGAGATATTGTCCACAGACGAGGACAGTAGCTCAGGCGATGACAGCGATATTGAAAGGATGGGAGAGAACATCGACAGTGTGCTAACCAACAAGAAAACCAGCTCACAGATCTCACATGAAAAAGAGGAAGAGGAGAGAAAAGAGCTTCAAAGAATGATTATGTCAGATTCTAAGGATATAAAGACTAAGAGGTCAAATGCTGGAACTCCTCCAGGAATTGCGTCTGGTTCCAGTGGGATTAAAGATGATGATGCTGGATCTACTCACAGTTTTAGCTCATCAATGGTAAGTAATTTTATATTACTTTTTTGTCTTAAAAAAAGTTGTCAAATGAATGAAATTTGACTGAATTTGGATTAGCTGAGTTTGCTACAATTACTCCCTTGGAACAGAGACACACAGTGGCTATGACTTTATCCATATTTTTGGAAAATAATATACCATTATTATATGTAGTATAGGTACAAGCACAGGCACTGTATCAGTTACTGTATCAATACCAACATAAGTACCAATACCAATAATTTCACTTTATTAATACAACTACATTATAATATAGGTACCAGTAACAATACTGGTACCTATATTATAATTTAGGTACCAGTATTGTTACTGGTACCTATATTATAATGTAGGCACCGGTAAAACAAAATTGGTACTTTTACCATTACCAATATAGGTACAGTACCAATACCAATTAAAGCTACCAGAAACATAAAATACCATACAAAAACCATGTACCAATACCAAAATAGGTACCAGTATGAAAATCGATAATAATATATAATTTATGTACCTGTACCAATACCAATATAGATAAGAGTACCAATACCAATACAGACACCAATACCAATACAGACACCAATACCAATATTATGTACAATATTTTTTTTAATTTCTTTTATAGGCTGGTAGACCACTAAAAATATACCGTACATTTCGTGATGAGCATGGTGTAGAGTATGTACGATCTGAGATGGTTATGAAGCCGGAAGTTATTGATACGTATGTAAGGATCCGACAAACCAAAGATGAGACATACATGTAAGTTGGTTTAAATATTAAGAGTGAAGACAGCCCTCTATAGTAATTAAATGCATCAGTAAGCAATTTGAAGTTTTATTACGTTGAAAAAGTCATATTTTTCAATGTCATGATAAAGACCACTATAAAGAAGTCAATTGTGTATATTACTGGAAGAGTTAAACAGTTTTCCAAAGTTAGAGAAGACCACCTTACTTTATATTAAAAAGCTGAAAAAAGACAATATTGTCAAAGATTTTACTTTAAACAACAAATTTACTCTTTAGCAAACAGTTTGCTTTACATGATGAGGCTCATCGTGAAGAAATGAAGAAAGAACGCAGGAGAATTCAAGAACAACTTCGCCGTATTAAGAGAAACCAGCAGAAGGCTGCGGAAGAAAAAATAAACCCACCAGCCCCAAAGAAGCCTAAGAAGAAGAAGGAGAGACCAGAGTCAAAGGTTAAGGTAAATTTGCACAATTTATATTTATGAATTTTTTAATGCTTTTTATCCCTTATTCACAAAAAAACAAATATTGTTCAAGTGACACAAGCATTCCCTCAGACATCATGCTCATGTGGAGATGCTCAGTGTAAAATTACTACATATTCCAGTAATATCCAGTATTATTTTAGTACCAATCACGCTCCTGAGTATATAGGGGCTACATAAGCATGCACCCCCCCATTTCAAGACTCCAAGATACGCCACTGCTTCGAGATATAGCTGGCATATACTACAGTACATTACAGTAGTCTACATTTTAGCTAATCACAGAATGGCAAAGTAAGGGTGATTACATTTTAGCAGGCATTAATGATAAATGTGTGCTCATATCGTTTAAATGTAACATCCTGATCTTACTGTATGTTACATAAAGAACATTTCCAAAACATAATGCAACAGTCTAACATTATTGATGCTTCATCTTGTGTTTCAGTTAAAATGCGGTGCTTGTGGTCAGATTGGTCACATGAGGACAAATAAAGACTGCCCTCTATATAACAAAGCACAGAAAGATGTGTTCCCGGTGGTCGTTGCCATGACAGAAGAACAAGAAGAGATCGAGGAGAAGCGCATCGATGAAGATGAGCTGGTGAAGACGGAGGGGACCAAGATTACATTGTTAAAATCAGTTGTTGAACAGTAAGTGAAATGAGGGAAGAATATAGTGTTTTCCCACATAATGGGGAAAACATGACATATATAAAGGCCAGTGGCATTCCTATGAATTGGAAATAGGAGGGCCCATGGAGGGAATTTCAGAGATGGAGAGTCTAGACCACCCCACCCCCTCAAAGTTGTGGTTGAGTTAAGAAAATTTGTGATTATAGCACATCCAGGTGACCAGTAATGGCTCACTCAGATGTAAATTTTATATCATTTTCTCTTTTCTTCTCCTTTTTTTTTGTTGAAAAATTTAGGGGTGGGTTGGCTGCCCCCCCACCCTTGAATCCTACACTAAACACCTAAAATTGTCAAGAGTACTACCGGATTCTTTGGATTCTCATCTTTGTCTACTTCGTTGTTATTGTGCTGTGGTAGGATTTACTCTGATTGGATTTCTTTGGTATAAATCAAACAAAAGATGACATACAGTATGAATGTTTAACTCAGGGATTAATTCTATCTTCAAACTGATTTTCCAATAAAACACAGCTGTGATTATTATCATCATCATCATCAATCATCAGTATTCATTTGCCATCATCATTGTCATTGTCAACAATTACTTATTACCATCATCCCCATCATTATCATCCTCATTATCACCAGAGTATCACCACAAAAGAAATTTTTTTATTTCTAAATCGATCAACTATATGATGTAATATATATGTCTTTTTTAGTCATAATGAGGTGCGTCGCAAATCATTGGTACTTCGCTTCCCTAAAGAAACCTTGCCAAAGAAAAAGAAGAGAAACTATGATGGTGGAACCGACTTTGACTACCTTAAGGTACAGAAACTCACGTTCGGCTATCCCATGACAAAACAATGTGACTCTTATTATTTTTTTGTTAAGTTACCTTGTTTTGCCTTGGAACGACTCATCTTTTATGAAGTTGTTACAATACACATTGTTTGTTGTATTGCAACACACATTCTTATTTTGTTCTCTAAAGCCCTGTTTACACTATCAAATATTTGACAAAACATGCCTAAATATGGTCATGATGACATCAAATCATAACCATATATAGGCACATCATGACTATATATGGGCATATCATGACCATATATAGGCACATCATGACTATATATGGGCATACAAAAGTTTTTGGTCCAAGAAAAATTGATAGTATGGTCCTGTGGACAGGGTTTTACCTAAATTAAATATATTTGTAGATATAAGATTTAAGATAATTGTCTTTTTGCAAAATGTGATTTTAACTGATCTCTCGATTCTATTCTCAGAAACCGAGACAGAATATGGCGAGGCGAAGAATAGATCCTGTAGTTGCCCTGTCATCTATGCTTGAACAAATTCTCAACAGCATGAGAGAGGTCAATTATGTGAGTCATGACCTTTGAACTTATGACTAATACAGTACAACATTAGTCATGTAACTGTTTCATTGAGTTATTCTATTATTAAAAAGGAAATCAGCAGAAATTTTAATATAAATTTTACTGTGAATGTGGCAGTCACATGTCAATAAGGAATTAATAATAATAATAATAATAATAATAATAATAATGGAGACCTGTATGCACTTACATAAATGTGAAAAAATTGAATCATGAAAATAGTACTTAATCTAACCCTAATGACATGCTAATTCTGCTCCTTAAACTAAATGTGGTTGGCTGTTGACTCCACCCTTTGTTCAGCTATTTTTAAAAAATAGAACAATAAGTAGTCATAAAAAACTCTGTTACAGCCAATCACAGATGAGAATTATCAGAATGTTTACATTTTCCAACATGAAGTGGTGCATTGATGAAAGTGGGGTTTTTTAAATAGTAAATTATGTATTTTAAATTTATTGTTTTATTAGTATTTTAAAATGTATGTTTTCTGTGTATTTCAAATTGTATATCTAAGGCTCCCTGTAATTGGCCATCTGCTGTTGGATGTGGTTGACCATCGGCTCGGCCTAGCCTAGCCTAGCCTAGCCTAGCCTAGCCTAGCCTAGCCTAGCCTAGCCTAGCCTAGCCTAGCCTAGCCTAGCCTAGCCTAGCCTAGGCTAGCCTAGCCTAGCCTAGCCTAGCCTAGCCTAGCCTAGCCTAGCCTAGCCAAGCCTAGCCTAGCCTAGCCTAGCCTAGCCTAGCCTAGCCATAAAATAGAGTTTAATTTATATTTCAGAGTGAACCGTTTCACCACCCAGTGAATGCAAAGAAGATTCCAGACTATTATAATATTGTAGCAAAGCCAATGGACCTCCAGACTATGAGAGATGTGAGTCTGTAATATTTATGTTTTTCTTTCATTCTAATACACCTTTTCCACGAATCGCTAGACATCTTGAAGTGATAACAAACAACCCAAATTAATGGTGCATAACCAACAGAAATAAGATAAGCTTTGAGGCTGAATTCTTGTCCTCATGTTATCTAAAAATTCATAACTCCATAATGGAGGGTCATATCAAATTAATTTTTTCTGGAAAATGTTCTGAAAAGACTATTCTACACCACTATATGATTGAACAAAAATTGAAAACAACTT